GGGGGGCGGCGCTTTTTTTTGCTGCTTGGGGCAGCAAAAAAGCTAGAGCCAGCCCTGATCCTGCGTGATCAGGTCCGGAAAGAGAGGCAGCAGAATCGGGGTGACCACCGAGATCTCCAATAGCATGGTGTACCAATGCTGTCGGGGCCACGCGCACACCTAATTGGAACTGATATGAGCAAGCACTTGAAGAAGAAAATGTAATTCTTCTGCTCTACTCTGTGCTGATTAGGCTTCAAATGGAGTATTGTGTCCAGTTCAGAGTGCCACATTTCAGGAAAGATGTGGACAATTTTGGAGAAAAGCAACAAAAATGATTAAAGGTCTAGAAATCATGACCTATGAGGGAAGATTTAAAAAAATGGGTTTGTTTAGTCTGGAGAAGGGAAGACTGTATTTTTCAAATACATAAAAAGGTTGTTACAAGAAGGAGGGAGAAAAATTGTTGTCCTTAACGTCTGAGGATAGGACAAGAAGCAATGGGCTTAAATTGCAGCATGGGAGGTTTAGGTTGGACATTAGGAAAAACTTCCTAACTGTCAGGGTGGTTAAGCACTGGAATAAATTGCCATGGGAGGTTATGGAATCTCCATTGTTGGAGATTTTTAAGAGCAGGGTTAAACAAATACATGTCAGGGATGGTCTAGATCATTGTTTCCCAAAGTTGGGACGCCGCTTGTGTAGGGAAAGCCCCTGGCGGGCAGGGCCGGTTTGTTTACCTGCCACGTCCACAGGTTCAGCTGATCATGGCTCCCACTGGCCGTGGTTCGCTGCTCCAGGCCAATGGGGGCTGCGGGAAGCGGCGCAGGCCAAGGGATGTACTGGCTGCTGCTTCCCGCAGCCCCCATTGGCCTGGAGCAGCGAACCGCGACCAGTGGGAGCCGCGATCGGCCGAACCTATGGACGGGGCAGGTAAACAAACCGGCCCGGCCCGCCAGGGGCTTTCCCTACACAAGCGGCATCCCAACCTCGGGAAACATTGGTCTAGATAATACTTAGTCCTGCCATGAGTACAGGGGACTGAACTAGATGACCTCTCGAGGTCCCTTCCAGTCCTATGATTCAATAACAAATGTTATTTTGAAAAACATTTCACAACTAATGAATTGTAAAAAAACCAAACTAAAAACACATCCCTGTACGTTCAGATCAAATTGAGTGTAGTTTTCCCTTACATCGCCACTATATAATCAGGTGACATGAATTCAAATCAAACAGCCGTCACTGTTGTTCCAATGATCTAGCTGTTGCGTATTTTGAGGAAAAATATTGTTTAGAACAATTACATCAACATGTGGAATTGGGAAAAATTCTTCCGCCATAAGAAGGACAAATGAACATTTCCTGTTTCTCATCTTTAGTACATGTTGTCTTTTCAGACAACAATAGGCTGGCATTTGTTCAATACACGGTAAGAAAAACCCTGCCCCTTGAAGGCTGGGCTGACTCAGCCTAAAAATGCTGTGATCTAAATTACTGTGCGGACTCTGGACAAGGTTCAAACAACAGACACATCCATTTCTTCAACCTTTGATGTTTCTTAACCTTTGAGTGGCCTTTGTATTTAATGTTTATATTTATATGTCCATTGTTTAGGTCACTGTTTTATTCGCTGGTTTACACCTGAACAGATTAGAAAAATATTTCCATTGTTTATTACACAGAATTGTGACAAGAAAAAGAATGAGCCAGCAGTTCCTTGCAAAATACCGTTTAACACAATCCACAGCAAATCTACCATGTTTGTTACTTATCAGACAGCACTACACTAAAACAAAATATTTAGAGAGGCAACAAGTGCTCACTTGAGGGGTAGGAATAATTTTATACTAGTTATTAAACACATATTAACTCTAGTGCAGTGTCTCACAAAAAGTACTCCTAGTCGGTGAAATGATAAAACCTTCAGATGCAGTATTCTAAGGATGCATTATTTAATTAATAATACTGTAGTAAAAGTAAATGAAAGTAGGAATTGGATATTTAAGTTAGATTCCTATTGGGTAGGTGTCATCAATATAATATGTTACAAGAAATTAAATAAAAAGGTGACTAATTTTCTAACTCAGGACCAAATTCTACTCCCAGTTACACCAGAGTAAATCTGGAATAGCTATTGGCTTCAGATGACGTATTCCACATTTACATCAATATAACTGCAAGCAGAATAAATCCCTTAGTCTTTCAAGGCTTCAGAGTTACACAGTTCAAGGTTATTTCACAAATATTTAGAACAAGTATGGCATGCTGATATGTCACCCACCAACTTGATGAACTAGATGCAGAGCTAATGTTGCCTTTTCTGGAGACTGTGTCATACATTGATTAGGGAATCCCAGACGTCATGAGCTGAGTTCTGGGAACTCGTGATATTCAGCTGCATGACTGGCTAGAACAGGTAACTTCTTTACAATTTTTTTTAAAATTCAGCCCTAAGCATTTTTTTCTTTTCAAACATTTATGGATGATTTTTTGATGCTACTGAAAGTGAGGGACAAATAAGCTTTGGCTAGAGGAGGCACAGGGAGAGTGACCACCGTGCAAGCTTCTCCTCTACTAACAACTCCTATTTCCTGACCTGCAACACCCATGCTATTCTAGTCCTAGATCTTTCTCAGACTACCAATCATATGTTGATGGAGCAAGTCCCGCTGTTCTCTGGCACTGCTCTTTACTGAGCCCTTGGATTTGTGTGTGAAAACCTGGCAGGGATTTAATAAAGGAGCTTGCAGCTGAATGAAATCCTCCACCGTTGCTATTAGTTAATCACAAGGGAACCCAAAGCCAGCATGGTTTTTGTATAAGCCATTCTGTCATGAGGAGGGGATACTAGAGCTTCATAGACAACTCCTGTCCCTACGGATCCAGAGAGTCCATTCCCCATGTATATCTCAGACTGCAATATGCAGAAAGGCTTTGCCCCCTCTCAACTCTATTCTACCTGTGTGGAGCAGCCGCCCCACCACAACTGGTTTTACATATTTCTTAGTCGTTAAGGACTAAATTCTGCCGCTCTTATTCAGCTGTGTAGTCCATTGAAATGAATGTGAGTACATATGGAATAAAGTCTTGCACAACATGAGGAAGGATAGCAGAATCTAGTCCATACTTGGGAATATCAGTAGAAAGAGTAAAGAGTTTCAAACCAAAAGAATCTTTAAAATGTGACAACTATACACTGTCGTGAGGATTTTCAGTGTTGCCTAAGGGAGTTAGGTCTCTACTTTTTAAAATGCAGTACTTAAATTTGGCAATACATCCTCAAGTAGCTTGTTGCTATGATGGTGATTTGATACCCAGTATCTAGTTGAAGGTTGTTTATTTGCAAACTGTTAGCATTTAAAATTGAGCCATTGGCCACAACATCAGTCACAAACAGATCTGGTAAGAAGACAACTGACCAAGTGGGGAAATTATTTTAAAGTTGTGTTTTTTTCTTTTTTGTTTGTTTTGTTTTTTTCTGGTCTAAGACTAATTTTGACATTTGGATTTGTTGAAAGGGACTGGAGAAATCATGTTTTTTGGGTGAAGGGGGTTACTCTAAAACAGATGTCTTAAATGTACTGCATACACACTCACCTGATTAACATGTGGGGTGATCTTACAATCTTCCTTTAGTTGCTCCAAATGATTAATGAGAAAATTGCTTACACCAATAGACCGACATATACCTAACAAAAGAAAAAGGAAATAAAGTAAGGCATTGTACAGTACTATAGAAGCAGAAAAAGTGCTCTACAAAGTCTAAGTTTGGGGAGGTGGGGAACAACTTAAAAATGTAGCTTCTGAGGGGACAAAATGATTATACACTAACATCTCAATAACAGAATACTGCAGAGAGTGACAGACAAACCAATATTGAAATCCAGTTTGACAGCATTATCTGAAAGCATGGTACTATCAGAGTTCTATTACAAAAGTGTTTTATAATCTAAACACACAGGAGGCTCCCCAGTGTATAAAAACTCCAGGCTAAATTCTGGGAAAGACTAATGTAGTATAAGCAAACAACAATTGGACTTCACCAGAATGAAAGGAAGGAAATGGTGTTCTTAGCAGCTTGCCAAAACTAAAGAAAAGCAGAACATTTGTAGAAGACTAATAGGGAATGAGTAATAAAACACAAGGACACACAGTCTAAACGAACTGTCCACTACTTATATTTAAGGTAGGTTGATACTATAACAAACATTTATATACAATTCAGTATAAAAAACTACACTTAAAAATGAAATGTATGAAAATGTCAGGAAACTCAAAGGATTGAGTAGAGTGCCGGCATTAACACTGGATTTCTTGGCTTCTGTTAGTGTACATTTTAAATATATTAACAGAATTTAAAACGAGAATTTAAAACGTGTGCGCAAATTCAGTGCTGACTGACAACCCTGGGGAGTCAAATATCCTCTTTTGCCCATGGAAATGGCATGGCACACTTCCCAACACTACCCTGCAACAACCCTGACCAGTCCTGCAGGGGCCTGACCAGTCCTGGGGGTGGGGTGAGGGAGGGTGGGGGGGTCAATCTGTGGTGTCTCTGCTGAGACTGTTAATAAAGGATGTCAATTGCGGTCATAGTTTTTGTGATGTAGACTGGGCTAAAACCACCAGACGCCTTTCAAACAGGTCACTAATTAGCAGGGTGGATTTGATTTAAATCAAATTGATTTAAAGCATGCTTTAAATCATACTTTAAATCACTAGTCAGGAAGACTCGATTTAATCATGGATTTCTACACAAAAGTGCATTCTTGTTGGTTGTTATAACCTTAATACGTATTCTTCACAACTCAGAGATAGATGTAGGTTTCATTTTTAGAAGGTACACACTACACATTTTTAAAGTGATTTATTTTGAAAACATTTCAGATTCGTTTTACAGCTAGATCAGAAAATGAATGATTGTTTGGTTATTTCATTTACCAAAGGTAATTGAAGCAGATATTTATGAAGTCATTGGGAGGTAAACTATCTCCAAGTCAACAGGTTAATCATTAATATTTGGAGGATTTTCTTTCCCTGCTGTATTAGGAGGAGAACATCACCAGACAGACATTTAAATTGTTTTATTTAACTATGTCTCACCTCTATATATTAATTAATTAAATAAATAACATTTTTGCTGTTGACAAGCATGTTATCTCTGAAGACACAAATCCACAGTTTGAGAACTGCAAAACTACGCATCTCTGATGATATCTTCTAGACTGAGCACTGAGGCCCATTGGGTAAATAGAAAGATTAACCTACATAATTTATACAGAAGTTCCTGGAACCCTATAAAATTGGGTCCCTAATCCATGAACTATTGGAACTCATTTATAAAACTTTTCTTAAACATTACATGAATATATTGTCTCATACTATAGAATTAGAATTTATAATCCCTATTCCATGATGAGATCTCTTTGAGCTATAATGTATCTTAATTAAAACTATCTTTAGATAAGTTTTTTCCTCAAAAAGCATTTTATCAAAAAAATTCGATTTAAATAAAAAAAAATCTGATTTTTTAAATTTAAAAAAAAAATCATTGATTTTTATCCACCCTGCTGATTAGCCATCAGATGTTAACATTTTCACTCGTTACTGACCTGAGTGGATTAGAGCTGGCAACCTTAGAGCTTAAGTTTCTATGAACCTTTTACCAATCTCCTGAGCCTTCCAGTTCTTCTAATGTTTGCATTTCTCTTTTCACATTTGTGTGAATTTGGAATTTATTAAACGAACTTCTTTAACCCTTTAGGGCTAGGTCAGTAATGACTAAAAGTCATTACTATCTGTCAGCTCTTTAATGGGGTATCTGAAGTTAACTGCATCCAGTTCTTTGTAGACTGGGATTTATATAACAAAACACATCACCACAACTAGCTTCTTCACTGGTAGTTGGAGAGACCAAGGGCTGAATGTGTGAAGAGAGTTTTCCTTTCACCTCCAAGTCTGTGTGAAGGCTGTTGAAATCACCGACATAGACAGCTGGGTGTGGCAAGCTCGGTAGAAAATTTTGGTTCCAGCTGACGCTTGGAGGCTTGTAAACATTCGCCAGCCAGCAACCGCCAACCTGGATGGTGTCACAGAATTCAGTAGACATCAGCTGAATGGCATCTGCAATATCAGACTGAATGTATGTGGCTTGGCCGTGCTTCGGGTGTGCCACACGGCACAACAGGTCGAAGCTGTCAATACTGTAATGCCCAGCTTCGGCAGTTGCCATGTGTGTCTCTTGCAAGCAAATGACGTCGATAGTATGTCGATGAGCAAGAATTCCAAGTAAATCATGCTTGGCAGCCGACAAACCCTCCACATTAAGTTGTAACACGCATAGAGCTAGACCAATGACCCAGAAGTCACCAGGCTGCACATTGGGGTTGTCGGTGACGATAGTGCCTGGATTTGTTGAGCTAGTGCTTGCAGAATTCGACTCGCTGGTTGGATCATTAGCTTCCCTGACTGCTGTCAGGTACTGGTGGGTGGCGTGACGAGGACACTGATCCATTGCCTGCTCATCACGGGTCCTGCTACCTTGAGTCACAGGCGTCGCTGAACTGTTCCTCTGTGATAGGCAGTTCAGAGTCCATATGGGGGAGAAGACGAGTGCTTGGAGACAATAGAGCAATGGATTACCCCAAGGCTCTGTGCTTTCTCCAACCCTGTTCAACTTTTACATCAATGGCCTACCAACAGGGCCGGCTCTAGGCACCAGCAAAACAAGCTGGTGCTTGGGGCGGCACATTTTTAGGGGCGGCATGGCCGGCGCCAGAATGCCGCCCCTAAAAATGTGCCCCGGCCACCCTAGCTCACCTCCGCTGCCGCTCGCGTGCCGCTACTCCCCCTCCCTCCCAGACTTGAGAGCCTGGGAGGGAGGGGGAGAAGCGGCGCCCGTGCCGTGGCCACTCGGAGTCTCCCCCTCCCTCCCAGGCTCTCAAACCTGGGAGAGAGGGGGAGATCACGAGCGGCCGCGGCGCACGAAACAGTTGTTTCGCGCGCCACTGCTCTCCCTCCTAGGCTTGAGAGCCTGGGGGGGAGGAGGCAGGGCTGGGGATTTGGGGAAGGGGCGGAGTTGAGGCGGGGCCGGGGGTGGGGGTAATTAAAAAACGTGGGGGGGTGGGGCGGCCAAAATTATTTTTGCTTTGGGCGGCAAAAATCCTAGAGCCGGCCCTGCCTACCAACAATGGAGTCATGAAAGTTCATTTACGCAGATGGCATCTGTTGCAGGTACCCAGGCCCGGACATTTCACGAGCTTGATGTCACCTTAAACCGAGACATGACAAAGTTAGCTGACTACTGTAAGACTTGGCACCTTCAGCCAAGCATCATAAAAACAGTCTCCAGTTTGTTCCCTCTTCATTGTGCCAGCACAACCCGAGAACTGAATGTTTATCTGAATGGTCAGAAGATGAAGCATGAAGTAGAACCGGCCTATCAAGGTGTGACCTTAGCATGCACACTGAGTTACCATGCCCACCTGAAGAAGACAGCAGCTAAACTTAAGACGCGCAATAATCTTCTTAGCAAACTGGCAGGTTCGTCATGGGATGTTCGTGCTCCAACTTTGCGGATGTCAGCTCTTGCCACCTCGTATTCGGTGGCGGAGTATTGTGCACCAGTTTGGAGTCGATTGTCACACACCAAACTGGTGGATACACAGTTACATGCCGCCATGCATATCATCTCTGGCACCCTGTGTCCGACTGCACTCCCATGGCTTCCAGTTCTGAGCAATATTACTCCTCCTCATATCAGACGAGAGGTTGCCACTGGCAAGTTACTGGAGAAAGTATGCGCCAACTCAAGCCTGCCGCTGCACTATGACCTGTTTAAACCACTAGCTGCACGTTTGCCATCATGTTGCCCATTATGTTCTCATCCGCCACACCAGGATGTTAGGGCGGAAACACTCTGGCGAGAGGAATGAATATCTGCTATAATCCCCAACCAGTCCCTCATCGCCGACCCTACAATTTGCCCGCCTGGTTTTGACCTGCCCCGTCGTCAATGGTCCCCGTTGAACAGATTCTGGAGCGAGCAAGGTCTCTGTGCAGCCAGCCAGTACCGCTCGGGCCTTCTTGACAGCCCTTTGTGCATCTGTGGCGCAACACAGACAATGACGCACATTGTCGATGAAAGCCTGCTGACTAGGTTCAGCGGTGGCCTAGAAGAACTGCATCATACCACTGAAGATGCCATCGCTTGGCTAGACAACTATGCACACACTAAATAACCAACCTCGGAGTCAGGCACATTGCTGGGCTCGCACTGCCATTACCCTGGATGGGCCTGCCCTGTGAATAAACAAAGGACTCCAATCACTACTTCTGTTAAGCCAGCATCTCTTCTGAGCGCTATCTTCATTTCAAAAGAAGAAAGAAAAGAAAACAAAAGCTATTCTGGTCTCTCCAGAAAATACTTCATCAGGCAATTTCACACAACTGAAATTAAGGTAATTACTGACTAATGGCCTGATTTTACAGCCACTCCATGTTGGAGCTGCCATTGTCTTGACTTCAGTGGGAGTTGTGCATGTGGAACAGCCATGGAATTGACCCCCAAAGAGGTATACTTGCCACTCAGTGCACATATATAGCTCTCATTAATACTAATGGGATTCAGGGATACATTCAAGGAAGAATTTACCTTGATTTAGAATTTAAAATAAAGTTAATGGAAATG